GGGGGGGGGTCTGCGCAAGTGTCGTCTGAATTGTGCGAGCTAAGAGGGAGGAGACACAGGTCGCGCAAGAGGAGAGAGAGAGAGAGAGAGCTTCTTTCCAGCGCAGTCACCGGGCCCGGGTGGGCTGGGAGGGAATGCCATACACTAAGTTACTCGGTACTCGTTGGGTTTGGTTCAAAGCCATGGAAGTGGACGCAGGCCTGATGGGTTGTAAGGAGGCGTGCCGCGACATAAAGCACACGGCGAATCATCTTGGCAGGATGTTCAATTATGGAAGCGGCTTCATGCTGCAGATGAGAAGTGAGGAGGGCTATACGTGATCGGTCAAAACCGGGGAAAACCGCGAAAACACTAGTTGAACACATGAAACACTTGAGATTTGCATCGACATCCGGTTGGCCCTTTTATCACCAACATTCTATAGTAAAGGCGAGAGCCGTGCTGCTGAGCGGGAGTGAGATGTAGGATGCTTTGCTGCTGGGGATAACAAAGACAGCAATACAAGGGAGAAGAGATGGTGGGGTCCACCGGGGGTAGCGTAGGAGGGGGGAGGGGAGAAGGGAGGCGGGGTCTGGACGGCTGGGTCCCCACTGGTGTAAATGAGCGGGGCGAAAAGGCTTTTCCTGCGCTCACTATGCAATAACTTTACGAGCGGGCTGCCTGCGCATTGATTGTTGGTCCCGAGGGAAGACAGTGGATGAGCACGTGATCTTACTCAACCAATGAATAGACAAGACTACTTTTGGCGCGACGCAGCCCGGCCGGGCCGACCCGAGCCCCGCCGCCGGGCCCTCGAGGGCGCGCCCGCCCTCGGCCGGACCCCGGACCCCAGCCAGTGCAACAACAACCCCCGAAGTGACGAGTCACTTGCGAGGAGCTTTCCGTGCATCCGTTTGTGATTTGCCGCGACAAGTGCAGTGCGTTTATTATCTGCGATCCGCGTGACTTGTGACCAGCTTGTGACTTTTGTGATTGTGTTTTGTGGCCTTATTTTCTCCGGCATCTATACCTGGTCGCGCTTGCTCCCTGCTGAGCACCCCTCGCTAACAATAACAACACCGCTGCACCCTGAGCTACCTGGGCTACCTGTTTCTGATCGACACTGAAGAGCGAAGAAAGAGACACGTGCCACGCCACCCACACTACTGTCGTGGTAAGTAATTAAATTGTTTACCTGTTGATCTTTTCTTGTGTAGAAGGGGGTGGGGCCTCCGACTTCCAGTTTCAAGTCTGGAGCGATGGACATCCCAATTTTGATGGGCGGTGTTAATTTAGTCCCTTGACGAGTTTGAAGATACGAGTTCTTTTGCCTTTACGCCAGTATTTCTTGCTCGTTTTTTTCTAAGTTTGGATACAGCGACCATTTTTTCTTTCATTTTTTTGCGTCCGGTTCCTTTTTGACTATCACTACCGTACCCGAAGGTAAAAGTTGACCGTTTTGACCGCTCGACGAATGCTCCCGCAAAGCGTGCTGGTAGGTATCCAGTACAGGCGAGCCCTGCGCCCCGCGCCCCGCGCCCGCGCGCCCTGTGCCCCGCGCCCTGTGCCCCACGCTCTGTGCCCCGCGCTCTCTACCCCGCGCTCTGTGCCCCGCGCTCTCTACCCCGCGCTCTGTGCCCCGCGCTCTGTGCCCCGCGCCCGCTAGCCTGTTTCATCCAAAAATCAAAATCCTCATCGGTGACTTTTCTGATAGCAAATTTGATGCTGAGAACGTTGGTCACTGTCCGAACTCTCTGCGACATCGGGAACCCACCGCGCAACAGCGTTAAAGATTTGGGCCCGCGCG